TATCATAAAATGCTTAAAACTACAGTTTTCCTTGAGTCTAGTAATGGTAAAAGATTCAATGATTAATCACGAGATTTGATCAGAATGTATCATTTAATATTGTTTTTCCCTGTAGTTCCCATAGATGTCAGCAGTTGATTGAGATACATTCTTAATCAAAATACATAAATTGAGATTTAATTTTAAGGATTCAACTTCACTCCAGACTCTTGAAAATTTCCGATTTTGACGAGTCAGAAAAAAATTGCCGATTTTAACTTAATCCTGATTACTAGTGTACTGAAAATTGTTGCCTCTATTTAATTTTTAGTCTAATCATGTTCCACTTTAAAATTTTATTGCAATATCTTGAACCATAAACATTTTTAATCAAACAAATTCAGTCAAACGTTTTTAGATCTCCAAAGCAATCGAATCAATTATTATTTTATTTAGAAACAGTTACAATCTTTTACCTATCATCATTGTTTTTGAAACCATGAAAGTTATCTACGGATCTAAAGTTGCAATCCTTGACCACAAAGACATTTCTTTAGGTTAGACAATAGATAATATTCACTAGAAAAATAGATCGAGAAATAAATTGGATGAATATTAGAGATTAAGTTGAAACTCTTTGAATGGGCTTTCCAGGTACAAAATAACAAATTTATTATTGCGATTTTCAATAATCAATCGGAATCAAAAAATTTGGAAGGAGAAGATGCTCTCTGAAAAAGCAATTTTTCATGAAATCAAAGCCTCGACTCATTGTTTCGTGTTTAATGGACAATTGAGGCAAATCTGATTCGATTTCATGTTCATTCCCATCGAAGTAAAATTTGATTGATCGTCCATATCTTTTACAATAATCTTTAACATAATCGGCAGCTTCTTGAGTGACTCCGTCACACTCCCTAACATCCAATAGCACTAAATTGGGTAAAATGTGAACCAATTGCTCGATATATTCATCTATTAATTTCCAAAAGCCCCTCAACGAAAGATGTTTGAGATTCGGATACTTCATAAGTAATCTTTTATATTTATTCCACTTATCATCTTTGATATCCAGTCCATCCTGAAAATATAGAATCAATTAGATTACATGGAACAGATGATCCTTTCCCTGTTGACCTAACCTAACCTTGTTGATTTTATTCTCAAGAAATTTCTATATTCCAAAAAGCAATTACATTTCAAATCTGAACAATACTTACAAATTGTATAACTAAATCTTGCAAACATTTGAGTTCCAATGTTTCATCAAAAAACCAATTGGGAATATCCATGCAAATATGTGCACTTTGTAAATTTGGACATAAATCCATCAACTGGAAACCATGAAAAGAAGTTTCAGGTTGTTCTTCGTAATAGTGAAACAACTCAAGTATTTTGAGCTTTTCCAATACTGGACCATCGTAGTGTTTGTCTGGAACTGAACGATAGATTTTAATAAATGAGGGGGTTCTGGGCAAAATATTTTTATAATTACCATTAATTTGAATCTTTAGTCTTTCAAGGTTTGGCAAATAATGAGCATCTCTTCCAAAAGCCTCTAGAGTATATTCCCAAACATCCAATTGCTTTAGGCTGGAAACATTTCTTAAATTGTTTGGATTGAAATATTCGACAGAAAGCATTTCGAGTTCATCACAATATTTTTCCATTGGTACATCAAAAGGATTGATTAATCCTTTCAAGGATTCTTGTTTTCTAACAAATTCAATAGCATCTTCTACTTTACAATGTAATTCAGAAGACAAATCAGCGATCTTAGTCAATAAGATAGATAAGAAAATTAATATTCAATAAAAAATGCAAAAATAAATTTGATTAATAATATCAACCTACTTTTATATTTGTAAATAATTTACTCAGACAGGTTGAATCAATCGAACATGATCTTTGGTAATAAACAGTGTCAGATGAATAACCAGGATTCTCTGAAAATATAAATTTCTGTGATTAAGAAATGGATGACAATGAGCAGGAAACATCAATAAAACTTGATCTTACCTCGCAAATATTTAACTTTTTTAGTTCGCTTAGCAATTAAATTGCTCCATTTAACGCACACTGTAATGAAATTTTATTTATTTTTTAAATATTGATTTGCTCAATCGTTAGTCAATTACTCTCAGAACCATTACAACATGACTTAACTAGTGTTGTATTGTTCCGATTGAAAATTTTTTTTTGTTCCTGTTCTCCAATTTTAAACTACAACTTCAACATCTTTAAAAATATTCAAATACTGCGCCTAAACAGCCAGATGGTTGGTTCATGCAATTATCTCAAGATGACACAAAAAAGTTTATTCAGATGAAACTTTTACAATTATTATTTTCAAGAGGCTATTTTCTTATCTTGTCTTCTCAGATATTATTTTCTTAATACTCAGATGCCGAAGCTAGTTGACTCAATCATAATATCTCTGATCAATTCAGCAAATCGTCGATCAGGTTTGCCCAAAAAATTGCAATCATCACTGAATGTGCGTCTGTTACAAAAAATTGACTATCTTTGAATTGAAAATAACTTAATTTTTGAAAGAAGACATTGAGAAGCTTTTCAAACTTTATAATGTAATTGAGAAATATTAACGATTTAAAAAAGGCCATTTTTGCGTGATACACTCCTTGCAATGGAAAAGACGATTTTTGTGGTAAAAAACGTTTGGTACTCACCTTTATCGCAGTTTATTAAATCATCCAGGTCAATTATATAATCAAAAATGGCGAGCAAACAATCATCGGGAATTTCATTGATTAACATTTTATAATAAAATGATTAAAACTACAGTTTTCCCTCGAGTCTAGTGATTGTAAATAATATTCAATGGTGAATCACTAGATTTGATGAGAATTTAATAAACGCCGTTTATTAAACGGAAAAACAATTTTAAATTGAATTTTGAATGTATCATTTCCCTGTAGTTCCCATAGATGTCAGCAGTAGATTGAGATACAATTGGCACAACGAAAGATGTTTGAGATTCGGATACTTCATAAGTAATCTTTTCAAATTATTCCAGGCATCATTATGGTGTCCATACTGTAAATATAAAACCAATTAGTTTACATGGAAAAATTTTGAACAGATGATCCTTTCCATGTTGACGCAACCTAACCTTGTTGATTTTATTCTGAAATGTATCTCAATAAAGGAGTGGTGGTAGTAAATCTAACTTTCGAGTTAAGAGTTAGGACTTTGTAGGTTTGCAGGTCCATAAAAACTGAGTCCATTAGTGGTATTAAAAAATTTCTCAGATCGACAGTTTTTGAGAAAATCGAGGTCAAAGTTAAAACTTCGATCGCCTTTTGTTCAATTATGGAATAAGATTTTTTAATCAAACTTATTTTTCTGGTATAACTTTTGATAGCCAATCAGAAAATGTACTTATTTCGGGAAATAAAATTCTCTGTTTCTGTGCAACAGATTACTTCGATTTTCCGTTAAACCTCCGCCATTTTATGGCCATGATAGCTAGAGATATGAAACTTATTATTTGGCGATGAAAACTGTAGTTACATATCATCGATCGAAAACTTTTTTCAATTTATCAACAGTTTTCTTGATTTTGGCCATCGGCCTCAAAACTTTGAACCTCGATATCTCGCGAATGGTAGTACCCAACGTCACCATTTTTTATTTGATCATTAGCTTTTAACATGGACTAGATCATAACGAATTTTTAATCATAAAAACTAGTTATAGCATTGAATTTCTTGTTTTTTCAGATTGCATACTTCGTTCATTAATGTGAATGATTATTCACAAATCACAAATCTTATGACGAGTTAGAAAGTTATTTATTAATAAATGAAAATCAGTTCAATTTTTTAAATATTCAGTAGTCTAATGCTAGAGCGGATATCAAAAGCTAATGATCAAATAAAAAACGGATCTTTCCTAACCACGGATCTCAATACCTAACATAAATCACTCATGTCAAGAGAAATGTAAACAATGACAAACTGTTGATTTGCATCAGGTTCATGAAAAATGAATTAATAATAGACAAATGTTTATGCAGAATTATTTAATTTGTACAAATTATGGCAAATGATTTGTTTGCGTTGCTTCAACTGTGCATACGAAGGCCTATTAGATAATGGTGTTCAACTTCACGCCCATGAATGCTTACATATGTGGCTGATAATTTTTTTTATGAATACTCTTGAAATGAAATGAATGAATAATCATCACAGCTTATTGCAATAATTATCTGAAAGGTCTTTGTGTACACTAGAAGTCAGAAAAAATTGCCGATTTTGTTAACTTAACCCTGATTACTAGTGTACTGAAAATTGTTGCCTTTATTCAAATTTTAGTCTAATCATGTTTTACTTTAAAATTGCATTGAAATATCTTGAACCATAACAATTTTTAATCAAACAAATCCAGTCAAACGTTTTTAGACCAATCTATCTCAAAAGCAATCGAATAAATTATTATTTTATTTAGAAACAGCTACAATCTTTTTTTACCTATCAACATTATTTTTGAAACCTCGATGAAAGTTATCTAAGGATCTAAAGTTGTAATCCTTTGACCACAAAGACATTTCTTTAGGTTAGACAATTGATAATATTCATTAGAAAAATAGATCGCAAAATAAAGTGGATGAATAATAAAGATTAAGTTGAAACTCTTCGAATGGGCTTCCAAGCTACAAAATAACAAATACAATTTAATAAGTAGTTTTCAATAATCAATCGGAATCAAAAAATTTGGAAGGAAGTCATGCTGTCTGAAGAAGCAATTTTTCATGAAATCAAAGCCTAGACTTATTGTTTCGTGTTTAATGGATGATTGAGGCCAATCTGATTCGATTTCATGTTCATTCCCATCGAAGTAAAATTTGATTGATCGTCCATATCTTTTACAATAATATTTAACATAATCGGCAGCTTCTTGAGTGACTTCGTAGCACTTTCTAACATCCAATACCACTAAATTGGGCAAAATGTGAAACAATTGCTCAATATGTTCTTCTGTTATTCTCCAAGCGTCCCTCAACGCAAGATGTTTGAGGTTCGGGTATTTCATAAGCAATCGTTTTAAATCGTTTTCGTTTCCAACCCGTGTGCTGGTAGTAATTCCATTATAGAATTCAGACTGTAATATAAAATCAATTAGTTTATATGGAAAAATTTTGATGGCCCTTTCCATGCTGAGGTAACCTAAACTTGTTGATTTTAATCTGAAATGTATCTGTTTTAAAATATATTTCAAAAAAACAATTACATTTATAATCGGAGCAATACTTACAAATTGTAAAACTAAATCTTGCAAACATTTGTGTTTCAATGTCCCATCGAAAAAATAAGTATTAGCGGCCATGCAAATATGTGCACTTTGTAAATTTGGACATAAATCCATCAACTTGAAACCATAAAAAATGATACTATCCCAGGGAGCATGGAAAGACAGCTCAAGTATTTTGAGCTTTTCCAATACTGGACCATCGTAGAAATAGTCTGGAGCTGAACGATAGATTTTCATAAATGAACATTTCTGAGCAAAATATTTTCATAATTACAATAAATTTGAATCTTTAGTCTTTCAAGGTTTGGCAAATAATGGGCATCTTTTTTCAAAAAATCTAGACTATAATTCCAAATGTCCAATTGCTTTATGCTGGAACCATTTCTTAAATTGTTTGGATTGAAATATTCGACAGATAACATTTCAAGTTGATCACAATATTTTTCTATTGGTAAATCAATTTGATTGATTAATCCTTTCAAAAATTCCAGTTTTTTAACAAATTCAATAGCATCTTCGTATGTTGGCTTCAAATTAATAGACAATTCAACAATCTGTGGTATAAAATAAATAAGAAAATATTCAATTAAAATACAAAAATAAGTTTGATTAATAATATCAACTTACTGTTAAATTTGTAAATAATTTACTCAGACAGGTTGAATCAATCTTATACAGTTCTCGATAATAAACAGCATCAGAGGAATAAACACGCTCATCTGAAAATATAAATTTCTGAGATTAAGAAATGGATGACAATGAGCATGAAACATTAATAAAACTTGAATCTTACTGAATAACGAATATTTTACTTTTTTAGTCCGCACAGCAATTAAATAGCTCCATTTAACGCACACTGTAATAAAATTTTACTCATTTTAAACACATCGGTATTCAATTATATTAAGTAATAATACTTTCAAAACCAACCCAACATGACTTAACTAGTGTTGTATTATTCCCATAGATTGAAAAAAAAACTATTTGTTTTTATGAAATAACAAAAATCAGATCAGAACAAAAACAAACCTGAAAAACAATTGTTCGATTGAGAAAAGGGCTAAATATCGCTCACTTTAGTATAATTTTGTATGTCAGCGACAACTGGTTGCTATCAAAAGTCACATCAGTGAACTTTTTTGCATTATTTCATGTTAAGATGAATGAATCAACAATGGAACAAAATTTTGTACCGTTCTTGTTATTTCAATTTTTTCCAAATTATGGAGAGCCTAGAATAAATCGTCCATTGTTTGGTTCGGAACAATACAACACTAGACTCAACATCTGTAAAAATATCCAAATACTGCGCCTAAACAGCTAGATGGTTGGTTCATGCAATAATCACAAGATGACGCAAAAATATATATTCAGATGAAACTTTTATAATGAATTATTATTTTAAAATTTAAATACTCAGAGGCCGAAGCTAGTTGAGTCATGCGAAACTATCTCTGGTCAATTCAGCAAATTGTCGATCAGGTTTGCCCAAAAAATTGCAATCGGTAAGGCTGTAGAAGTAAACAAAGTTAATTGTTAAATAAAACCCTTAAATATTAAGTTTTTTAATTAGCTGCTCGGCTTGAGCCGAAACTAGCTGCGGCTAATAGAAGAGAAGTGAGCCTACGGTTACTTCTACAGCCTTACCAAAACGCAATTGAAGAAGACATTGAAAAAAATTGCACTTCAAATTGAAATAACTTTTGATGATTTCTCACAAACCGACTGTTAAATCTGCTCCTGATAAGTTCAAAATGGTTTTTGATTTAGTCTGAACATGAAAGACTAAGGTATCATAAGAAGTGAAAGAAATACAAATTGCGTCCATGTAACTGAACACCTTTTCAAACTTGATAATGTAATTGAGGCATATTTTTGATTCAAACAAGATTCAATTTTGCGTGACACACTCCTTACTATGGAAATAGACGATTTTTATGGTACAAAAAACATGATTGGTACTTACCCTTATAGCAGTTTACTAAATCTTCCAGGCTGTTCAGATGATCAAAAATGGCGAGCAAACAATCATCGGGAATTTCGTTGATCAACATTTTATAATAAAACGCTTAAACTACAGTTTTCCTTGAGTCTAGTGATTGTAGCCAAAATGGTATTCAACGGTGAATCACTAGGTTTGACCAGAATGTATCATTAGATGTTAGTTCCCATAGATGTCAGCAGTAGATTGAGATACTATTACAATAAGAAAAATTTAGATTCTATTATATTTTATGGATTCACCTTCACTCCAGATTCTTAAAACTTTCCGATTTTGTTGACTTAACCCTGATTAAAATCATGCTTTTGAATAGAACCAACTTTCATATGAACATAGACGATAGAACAATTGTTTATTTTTCAATGGTCCCTATTAAGGAGAGTTATATCTAGTTTTGAATTTCCTCGAATTTCGATTCCATTTCTTTAATCATCAATCGATTTAATTCAATTTTCTTTCGTGAAATATCATAAATCAAATAAAAAAACTCGCGAAATCAGCTCTAAGCAACATTTCGGATTTTGATCTATTAAGGAGGATTGAAAATTATGAATTACGCTGCCGGAGGAATAGTGAAAATATAATAAGCTATTACCAGTGCGGTGCATTATCTCAATGGTGACTGTAGCTACAATCATTCATCTTTTACCTATCAACATTATTTTGAAACCTCGATGAAAGTTATCTACGGATCTAAAGTTCTAATCCTTTGACCACAAAGACATTTCTTTAGGTTAGACAATAGATAATATTCACTAGAAAAATAGATCGCGAAATAAAATGAATGATTAATAAAGATTAAGTTGAAACTCTTCGAATGGGCTTTCGAGGTAAAAAATAACAAATTTATTAATAAGTACTTTTCAATAATCATTTGGATCAATAAATTTGAAAGGGTAAAAAAGTTTTTGCGAAAGTAATTTTTCATGAAATCAAAGCCTCGACTAATTATTTTTCGTTCAATGGACAATTGAGGCCAATTTGATTCGATTTCATGTTCATTCCCATCGAATTAAAATTTGATTGATCGTCCATTTCTTTCACAATGATCTTTAACATAATCAGCAGCTTCTTGAGTGACTTCGAAACACTTTCTAACATCCAATAGCACTAAATTGGGCAAAATGTGAAACAATTGCTCGATATGTTCATCTGTTATATTCGATAAGTACCTCAACGAAAGATGTTTGAGACTCGGGTATTTCATAAACAATCTTTTTAAATTATTCCAGGTATTATTTCCATTTCCGTACTCGGATCCATCCTGTAAATATAATATCAATTAGTTTATATGGAAAAATTTCGCACAGATGGCACTTTCCATAAAGCCGTAACCTAACCTTATACATAAAAACATGATTGGTACTTACCTTTATAACAGTTTATTAAATCAACCAGGTTGTTCAGATAATCAAAAATGGCGAGCAAACAATCATCGGGAATTTCATTGATCAACATTTTAATATTGAAATATCAAAAGAATAAAATGCTTAAAACTACAGTTTTAACTTGAATCTACTTATTGTACCCAAAATGGTATTCAATGGTGAATCACTAGATTTGATCAGAATGTATCATTCAATATTAAATTGAGTTCGGATTTGAAATCTGTACGGTTAATGTGAAAAATTAGTCTTGACCGACACTAGAGGAAGCTAGTGAAAACTGACAATAAAATCAGTTAATTGTTAAGTGCAGTTTCATAAAAGTGACTGTACTTTTTTCTTTGGTTAATGATTAATTTTTTTGATTGTTTAAGAGAAAAGTATTAATTATTCCAATAGATGGAGTTTCTCTAAAAATATCTAATAAGTGTCATTATCCAAAGGGAAGCTACTCTTTGCTATAGTCTCATTAAATTTGAGAGGGAAAAAATTGGATCCAATTTTTGAAATTTATTTCCAATTGTTGAAATAGGAAATGAAAAAATAGCAATTTATTATTTAAATTTAATCGGTAACAAAGAAATGTGAACACACAATGAGTTATTTTAATTGAGCTGCTTCAATGGTCAAAATGATGGCCAAAAAGGTATAACCTTATTATTATATTAAGGAGTCATCACTGAAAGAGATTGATGTTGATTTACATTGAATGTAATTAAGCTATTCTGTACATAATTAATCAGCAATTGACCGCAGACGGTGAAATCCAGCCACCAAATAATTTTTCAACTTCACATGCCATTGTAATTGCCAAATTGTCATTGAAAGGAGGAACAATTATTTGAAATCCAACGGGAAGGCCTTCTTTGGTCAAACCAGTTGGACAGTGAGTTGAAGGGAATGAAATTACATTACTAAACATGGTATAGCTTGGATCAAATCCATTTAAAAGTGTTGTTCTGTGTTTCACAGCAGGAATGGGAAGTGTTGGACAAATTATCAATCCTCTTGGACCTGGACAAACAGACGAAATTAAAACATTGAAATTAAATTGTTAGATATAATGACTTAGAAGCAGAGAAAGAATTGATTTAAATACCCAATAATTTAGTAAAATGATTCTTCATTTCCTTTCCTTTCTCGAGCACTTTATCATGCATTGGGGATCCTTTTTTAGGTCCTATTGACTCAAACAGTG